AGGTAGGCTGAACTAAGCCTTTTTTTTTTTTAAGGATTTGTTCCAGTTTCAATAAAGTTTTTTCCCAGTTTGACTTACATGGCTGTTGAGCAGGCTGCTTTTGTGAGTGGCAATCCCTTCTGACTTTTGGAGGTTTTCAATCGCCACTTCAAGCTAAGGAAAAGTAGGAGCATGCAAGACATGAAACAGGGGAAGAGAAGGAAAAAAATGGAGGGGGTGGAATGTTGGGGGGGACAACAGGGAGGGAAAAAAGACACGGAAATCAGTCTGTTAGCTGTGGCCAGACATTGAGCATTTCCATTACAGTCTGTCAGTGTTTGCAGCCACATTCATTATGGGTGGACAAAAAGCATGCAAATGTGAGGAACTCGGAGGGTTACGCCACTCTTCCTGTCTCAGCCTCATATATGCTAATGAGCTGCACACAGAGGGCGTGAGGTCAGGCGACTCTCAAACACATGAGACGAGCTCTCTAGCCACTTCTGAAATCATACAGTTAGCAGGGTTGTGCCCCCTGCAAAGACACGGTCACATTTAACGCATGATGCTGAAAAAGCAGATTTAATTTGACTCTAATAAACATGTTTTTCTGCAGGTATTAGCTGGGAAGGAGGATATAAGTTTCTACTATTGCATTCATTAACCAGAATTAATTTTTTCCCATAGTGGGCATGAAAAAAAAAAACTATTTCAAAAGTTAGAATAAAGAAGCCTGAAAAGAGATTAAGAAGAAAAGATTAGAGAAGGAGAGAAATATAAAGGAGGCAGAAAGAGAAAGTTTTAGCAGAGTGGCAAAACTTATAAAGAGAAAGAGGGAGACAGGGAGAAAGAAAAAAACAGGCATCCTTCCAAGTCTTTAAAAGGCTCCCGAGGGCCCTTGGCCAAATGGTAATGAGCCCCAGGGGTTGCTTTGTTTCAGAGGCCACTCAAGTGGCTGTGAAAACTGATAAAACAAGGCAGAGCTGGATTATTTAGAGGCAGTCGCCTCCTTAAGCCCTGTCCCTGCTCCCAGCCTACCTCATAAACTAGCACACTGTGGAAAAAAGCTACACTCTGATGACAGTGTGTGTCATCTCTTCTCTACAGAGTATTGGTAAGGGAAAAAATGTGTTTGCATGATTAATCTGTGACGTTACTGTTTGAGAAATGCACATAAAAGCAAAACACTTTTGTCTTAAGGAATGTACTGTAAATTGAGCTCTGTCAACATCATATCTGTGACATATTGCGGATTACCAAAGAAAGTCATTTTGACTCATCCTTCAGTTTGTAAAAAAAGAAGCAATTCTAGAGGAGATGCAGAAATGCAGCCTGTATATTTATGTTACAGTGGTATTATTTCTTTCGCATAAAAATGTGTCTTCTTTCAGATATAAATTTGCCTAAATTATACATTTAGCTACTTTTCTAGGCGGATAAACTTCTAGTTATGCTTTACTGACTTAATTCTCTGCATAAACTGTTTCATTCTGGTATCCTTGCACATAGTTAAAATATTGAATATAATTTTATGTGATTTTATAAATCTAGTCTCATATTAATAATGTTTCGTTTTTGTGACTATACTTAAAATGCATGTATTTAAGTTTACTCCGCTGCAATGCAGTGCCCCATAGACTTTTTTGCTAGTGTAATTATTGTAAACACAATTTTTGTTGGATTTTATAAAATGAGGGATGGGTTGAATGTTTTTTTCTGTGTTAAAAGACATGAAAAGTACATTCCGGTTACACATCATCTAAACAATAAAATAGTGTTATTAGACTATGCTTACATTTCCAAAACCACAGCTTTCTAAGTCTAAAAACGCCCCTCCCATGTCAGTAGTGGACCAGTCTTGAAGGATTTCAGCACAGCGAACCATACCATTGCGGATGAAGAGCGTGAGGAGTGAGAGGTGTGGTGGCGGCCGCTCTCCATCCCGCCATGGATCAAGTAGGCACTGCCGCTGGAAATGATGTGACTGTTGCCCATGTCCATGGTGATTCCCACCATGCTGTGAGTGGGCACTCCGCCAGCAGAGGAGACAACAGTGGTAACCTGAGTACCACCTGCTTGAGAGTCGAAATAGGTGCTTCCACTGCCCTGTCCATACAGCTGGGAATCTGGGTTGTACGAGTATGCAGTACGACTGAAGGAAGAGATAAAGACAGTAATGTTTAGTGTTTCACGTAATTTTAACTTTTAAAGAGCACCTTTTGATTTTTCGACAGTCTTTAACAGAAGTTGGATTTAATCTGGACTCCATCTATATCCTGAATAGGCATCTTTCATGACCAGTTAAAGAGGCCATATTATATACAATTTTGGAGCATTAATATTAGCTAATTTGTTAATATTTAATTAGCTAATTAACTACACAGTGGACATGAACATTCACAAAAATAGACAGAAAGCTGCTAGGGGTTTTCAATATTGATATAGTCTTCAGACTAGATATTACAACACACAGCCAGTCATTATTAAACTCCATAATAAAAAAATAGGGCCTGAATCACTAAAGGCTCCCGAAAAATGTTTTGACATCAGTGGGGCACCCTCAGCTGCCTGCACAAAGTGAACAACTGAAAACAGGTTTGACAGATTGTTTTAACAGATTGATATGTGCTTACATTGTGCCATTGGGGTAGACGGCCTCTGCTCCCTCCACGTACTGCACCTGGGACTGGTACACATGCTGAACCTGTTGGACCTTCAAACACATACACATACAGATCAGACTGGTGCTAAATAACCACCACATGAGTTCTGAGATGTGCTAATGCAGACTCTGTAAGGGAAATGAGATGAACAGCTGTATGCAGGCTGCAGGCAGTAGGGGGCAGTGAGCACAAAGCTTCACCTCAACAATCAGAGATGCCCCGTCGAGCCGGGAAACTACTTATTAACATATTAGGCTCAACAGCCCAAGCGTAACGTGCGTGAAAGTAAAGCATATCTGCGTTTCGAGGTTCTGACAGTATGCTGGGAGAGAGAGAGCGTGATGGAAAGACAAAGACAGTCACAAGAGAGCGAAAGAGATATGTAGAGGCAAAAGATAAGCCAGAGGTGTTGTGGGTCCTCAGGATGTGCAGTGAGCGTGCAGGGCTTGATTGACTGTCCTGTGTGTGTGTGTGTGTGTACCTGCTGAGGGACCTGTTGTACTCTAGGCACTGGCAACTGCTGCACCTGATCTCCCTTCTGGGAAGAGCCGGTGGCCTGAACTAACACACGCTGCAGGTGAGGGACACACACACACACAAATGTAAAAATTAGACCCTTTTCTCTTTAAAAGGTCAGGTGCGTAATTTCTTCGATGTTAGAATACCGTTATCCCAGTTTAATATGGAAAGAGAACTGAAAGTAAACCATTTTTGTGGCAATTTCAGTCTCAACCAAAGGTGTGAACTTGGGGTGGGACTACCTGTTTGTCCAAATAATGGAAGATGGGTGACAGGGCATTTCTTTGTTGCACCAAAATTCACACATTTACCCACAAAAAAGAAGAAAAACCACTGCGAAAGATCTTAATATCTTGAGAAAGTTCACTGGAAAGTTTCGTTTATGAAAAGTGTCGTCTTTGATCCAAACTGCAAGCACCACGAATGTTACATACAAGGAGCCTATATTTCATTCTGTGCTGGTTTTCGTCAAATCCTCTACAGCTGTCCAGGGAAATGTGATGCTCTACTCAAAATATTAACCGAAATTACATAAAGACCAGTTTCTTTGGATGTGTGGTTGATCCAAACCCAACATCTCCCTCAGCAGCACCACGCAAAGTCGCTGCTAATCATTTCAAGTGGCTTTGACAGATGAAGGGTGTGGGTGAGGAGAAATCTTTCATCGCTTCAGATGGATCCAGTGCTTATTGTAAAGCATCTTTAAAGAAATTCAGACCAATGGCCAGAGCTAAAGCAGCTCAGATTTTCATATTAAACAGCTCATGTGGGAGGAGCTTCCTTCATTTTTATTATGCTACTTTTGTGCAGCAGTGTTATGACAGATCATACCGAGCCTGCTTACCTGTTGGGAGGCGGGAACGGGCTGAACCACCGGCGCCTGGGCTGAAGTGGACGTTCTCAGCGCCACAGTGGACGCCGTCTCTGAGCCGCCCTCTGACCGCTGCATGGTTTCTCCTGAGCGTGCGAGAGACACAGAGAGAGGAAGTGAAAAATATGAAAAGGAAAAACGTTGGTTCCCAAGTCGTTGCTTCCCAATTTGCATTGCGTACTATCCATATTAAATAGTTGCACACTGCACGCAAGATTAGAATTAGCGTGTCAAAATCATTGTAGGCTACCTAGCAAAAAGTATGCCAAAAGCCTGTTTACTTTTGCAAAGTGTGCATTTGTGCATGAATTATCTGGTAATGTTGACCATAAAACTTTCTGTAACAGAAAATTCGTTTGTGCCTGTGCTTTAGCTAATGCTAACAGATGCTAAAAACTCTTTCTTCAATGTTAACTAAGCAGTGTTTAAAAGTACAGTATAAACAAAATTACATTTTTAAATAATGAAATGTATGCAACATGGTTTATCAGAATCAGAATCAGAATTAGCTTTATTCGCCAGGTGTGCGCAAACACACTAGGAATTTGTTTTTTTTTGTTTTTTTTTACCAGGTGCTCCTGGTACATACACACATGTGTCATCTGTGCCTGTGGCAGGTTGAACTATTTCAGCTGACGAAGGAAGTACAACCTCTGCTGGGCCTTTTTCACAATGGAGTCAATGTGAGTGTCCCACTTCAACTTATCAAGATGCAAATGTATGACAATAATGGTAGTTTTGCAGTTAGTATACATAGTTTTAGTATGTTGTTAAGTAAGAGTTATGTTAATATTGGTAATAAGTATAGTTTTAATTTACCTCATGATAATGTGTTTTTTAGATAAAATTTTGACAAAATATGTGAAGAGGTTAGCATTAGCTCAATTATTTTTATTTGATCAAAATCAGAACTAAGAATATAATTGCATGAAGCCCCAAATAAACAATGCAGATAAATAAAAACGAGTAAAAGTTCAAAATATAGCACTGTTTTGAAGTACAATCTACAATAAGCATAAAGAACAGCAATGTGTCAATTACAATCTCAATATAATATTGTGATCCCTGCTGATTCCCACCACTACTAAAGATACACGACACAATCAAACTGAGAGCCAACAGGTTGCTGGAGAGGATAAGAGAGGCCCACTGAAATACAACTCGGCACATGTGCCAGGAAAAGTGGGATACAAAGCGGCTTTTCACACTGTCTTTTTCGAAAGGACCAGGAGCTCAACCTAGCCAAGTCAGGCTGAGTCACCCGCATCCCCAGCAGGCCGCTCACCTCTGAACTCTATTATAGAGAAAAGAACAAAGGAGACATTAACAATCCTATCACAACCGCAGCGCAGCCCCGTTGGGTCGACGGGGAATTGGGCTCAAATGAAGATTTGAGTTTGTCACTGTCGTCGAGATCCCGTGTTACTCTCCAAACTCTTGCAGCTGCTGATGGCGCACAGAACAACAGGAAAGAGTTGAAAAGAGTGACAAATGGAGACCAGGCAGCCTCCCACAGAAAAAAAAAAAGATAGAATAGGAGGTGAGAGCAGGGGGACTTTGGAAAAAGTGGAGGGGCGGAAAAACAACATACCCCCCAATCATGAAAAGAAAAAGCAGGGGGAAAAAACTAAAATAGCAATGAGGCTGGTCCCCCCCACCAGGATACTGATGATCTCCAGCGGCTGTTTGGAATGAGAGTCCGTTTCTAGGGGCTCCAATAATACAGCTGATATGAGGAAATTCCTCAATGCTTTGTAAACGTTTGTCGGTTGCTATGGTGAGGGATCCATGGCAACAATCCCTAACTCTACCACCCCCTTCCCCTTGTGCTATTCTTTTTTAAGCTCACACACAGGAACTTTCGGAGTGCTAGAGAGAGACAGACAGGCTCAGAGACGGGGAACGAGCGCTACGGGGGGGAGGGGGGGCTACGCCGATCTCTGTACATCTAAATAAGCTCTTCACCAGTCCGATGGTGCATTTACCGGCACCAGTGTGCTCAACAGGTTCCAGATCAGCGTTTATGATGTGTGCCTGCATTGATTGTGACTGACAAACAGCAGCAAAGGCTGATCTGAAAGCTCATGCGCTTCGAGAGACCTCTTGACTGACAGTTCGTAGTTAAAGTTTAAAATAGAGCAAAAGACAAGCAACACGCTTCATACTCATGATTTCATCTGCAGGAAAAAATGGATGCTTTTTACAGGCTATTAAAGTTTTCCTCTGGGAACAGAAGAATAAAGAATAAAAGCTAATTGTGTTTTCTGAGATTAGTTATATTGAAATAATGAATTCTCAAGTGTGAAGCTCTATTCAAAGGTAAATTAATTGGAGAAAAATCGAACTATCTCATTTTCAGAAAATGAAGGGATTGTGACAAATACAACAGATGAGTCAGTTCAGTAAAAAGCATAAACTCAAGATGCCCTCTGGGTGTATCGGTCTTTTTTTTTTTTTAACACAGTTAACGCAAATTTGTGGTCTTCTTTCTACAAAGAATCAATACTATGAAATTCTATTTAAAAAATCCATTAAAAATCCATGATTTTAAACCAGCATTTTGCAAATAAAAGGGGATTGTACAGCACTGGATGTGTTCACACACCTTTTGACCAGTAAGTTTTCAAGATTTCCATTATATTTTCTTGTTGGCTGTGATGACTTTGTAAGATTTTTGAAATTCTATAGAGAATTAAATGTTTTAGAGCACCATACTACTAAAAAAATTTTCATTGACTTTTTGATGACTTCTCTTCTACAATTAGTGGTAAACCAAAATTTCAGCATCTGAAAATATTCGTCCAAAAATTTATTTGAAAAGGTGACATTTAACTAGCACTTCCTAATTGTGCTAAATAAACATTATTGTACCTACCATCCAATAATCACAATATGTGTTGTGCTTTGTTACTTTTGATATGAAACAAAGTTTTAGCTTTCAAATTTAGTCAATTTTATTATGCAATTCAAATAATAGGCTTAAATGTTTATTTTTCAAAAGTTAAATTGGAGTAGAAACATTATATCATAAAAAACTGATATAAAACTGCCCTATGTGCAAATTTTTTTATATATATATATAACCCAGTTATTATTTGTCTGTTGATTATTAAATAAATTTGATTAATTTATTCATTCAAAAAATAACTTTTTTTTTTTGGCTAAATGAAAACTTTACATTTCAATTTTTTTTTTTTTAAACTGTACATTTTAAGTTTCAGTTAAAAAAATCACTTTGGTGCATTATTAATTTCCATGACCGTGGAGACCTTGCTCCTGAAGACATGAAGATTCAGTGTTGAAATCATCAGTAGGGCCAGATGGAATTGGCAGACACTTTTTGCATCAATTTTTCGAGTGGAATTCTGCTAAACAGATTAAAAAATGACTATGAAACTATGACAACTCTCAAATATTTTAGCTAATCTGATTAATTAATAATAAATCAACAAATTAATAATAAATCAACAAAAACTCAAAGGGTGGTGACTGGTAGAATTTTATGAATGGCATGGATTCCAGTTCTGTGGAAATCTGGACTAGCAAACACAGATTATGTGTGGGTGTAATCACCAAGTCATCACCAGGCTGGAAGTCTTCCAGTTTGTTAGACGCGTGTACATGTTACAGTCATGCTTTCCAACTGGGCTTGCTGTATCAGTCAACAGGAGTTATTTGGTTGAAATCCCACAGACTTTGTCTAACTCTCATCTGAATCAGACTGGTAAGGTATAACGCGAGTCATAACGTCAAAAAGCTTCATCAGAACTCTCAAGAGCAAATAGTATGAGTGTGCTTAGATCTTTTAAAAGAAAGGAATTTGCTTGAGGGGTGTTGCATTGGTTATAAATACGTCCTGGGCTGGCCCTGCCACCGTTATCTTTGGAGCTTATTCTGCCTACTGCTATTATTCCCAGAGAACGGGAGAGATCGCTCACTGCGTGCCTTCAGGTGTTCGGCGAGAAATCTACTTCAGTCTAGGTACTGAGCAGCACTTCTCAACTAGCTTTGTTTCAAGACCCAAATTTTACATTGGCCATCAAGTGGTGACCCAACAAAGTTTGAAACAAATAAACTGAACTGAAATGTATTATAGCATATCAACTGCATAAACCATGTTCAACCTTGTTCATGGTTGAGAACAAAACCAGTCCACGCAGGCATCTGCTGAATTCGATCATCTTCTTCTTTGCACCAAATCCCCAAATAGTTGGAGGCATGACCTTTGAGTCAATAAACAACATGGGAAGCATGTTCTCCTACCTTTGAAAAGATATTTATTTCGCTATCTTAAATAGGCACAGCTATAAGGTAAGTTTAATTTATTTTTTAATTTTAGCATTTTTTTCTTTGTTGTCCACGACCCAATCAGAACCTGTGGCCCATTTTTGCATCACAACCTACCAGAACCACTAATCTAGAGGAGCTTTTTTCAATAATATTGAGAAAGAGTGAAGTGGGCTAGTTAGTCGTGCATGTCAGTCTCGTCTAAGCTCAGAGAGAAGGTTAAAAGCCACACAAATTCCCCACCTGCAGCTATGGGCCGCACAAAAGCAGAAAACAGCAGGAGCACCCCGGCACTTTGGTGTGAAGAGCGAGAGAGGCCTGTCCTCAGTAGGCTTCTGGTTTATTACAGTAGAGCAGAGACTCCCTGCTGCACGATACAAACACTCACTTCAGCCGAACACAAATTAGCTATTAAAGACCGCCACAACACTGCAGCCATTTCCTTCTGTTCTCATTAACCTGAGTGCGAAGAGACGGGGAGCGAAATCCTCTCCTGGAAGTATGCTGGCAATAAACCAGGCCTAAATGACAAGGAAAACATAAAGTAATACCTGTGATTGAGGTTAGTGTTGAGAAGAGGGTTTAGACACATCTGTCACAGACAGATTGAACTTAAACAACGCTCGATCAGGGCAAAGCACATGCAGATGTTCAATTAAAAACAGGAGCCCACAGTCTTGGCTCTTGTTTGCACTGGCCCACATTGTTTGCAGAGCAACAACGGTTGCTAGTGGCAACACCGTCCACTCCCGTTTCCAGGAGCCTGTTGCTATGCAACCAACAGAATACTTCCCAAACC